ACATGGGAGCGCTCATTTGGCAGCGCACCCCCGTAAAGCGGTGGTATCGTCCGGCCCCGCGGAAGCGCCGACTATAACCGAAAGGCTGCCGAGAGCCGCCGAACCCGGCACCGGAGGACCTGCGCCGAGCCCGACACGGTGAGTGTTTGTGGGGTTAAATGGGATTACGTGTCTGCGCCGGTTAAACCGAAGAGCTCCGTTAAACCGGGCTGTAACAAGGCGGCCGGCTCGGTTCTAACCGGCCGGACGGTGCCGGTCCGGTGCCCGTTGGGCTCGTGTGGTAGCGGCTCGGCGGCTAGCGGCAGCTAGCAAACAAAAGAAGCCTGCTATCGGAGGAGAACCGAAACATTCAGCCCAGTACCGTCGGTCCGGGTTCGAGCGGAGGTTCTGTGTCTCTTTACCGACTACAAAGTGCCGGGACTGGCCACGAACGGTGCTGTGGGTCACCGGAGACGGGTTCCCGGTGTCCGGCTAACGTTAGCATCAACGGCCGTTAGACGGAACCGGAGCCGCGAGAAGCTGCAGTTCAGTGTTCACAGGATCAGTAAGACCCAATAGAACCCAAAGTAGGTCAAAGAGGCCCAGATAAATACTGAACATGAATAATACAGCCTGTTCACAGGAACCAGGTTGTTTAGTGTGTTGGTGCCGGTTCCTAGTTTCAGATCCAAATTAACCGATTCGTCCCTAAAACAGTCGGTCCTCATTTAATATTCAGATCAGTCGGATCAGATTCTACCTGCTGGTACCGGAGGGTCTGAGCCGTGATGTTGGCTGTAGTCAGATGGAGTTGAGTTTCCTGTTTGGACCTTCAGAGCGTAAATGTAGAACAGAACCGTCACTATTGGACCTGGTTTGCTTCATTAAAGACGTTCGTCCTCATTTCTGTTGCTGTGGTGGATGTGCTACAGAAATGAAACCACGTGATTCTGCAGATCATCACTGAGGGTTATTTTAGTTCATTAAGCCGAACCCTCATCAGCTTTCATCCTGGGTTCGGTTTGAGCCCGGCCATTTAACCCTCCAGAACCCATCAGCCTTCGGGTTGTTATCCAGGTTAATGTGTGAACAGGCCTTTAATTAAACTGATGACTATGGGTCCGACTGAGCCCAGAGATCAGAAGTAGGAGGGTTCAAACCTGCACACACGCTGATCCAGTCGAGTCCTTCAGGTTCTAAAACCAGTTCAGGTTCCCGTCCCTGTTTTTCATGTCTGGACACGAAGCAGCAGCTCAAGGATGCCGTGACTCAGTTTGTGGGTTAGAAGCTGCTGGAGTTGATCCTCCTTTTGTCTCATTTGGATCAATGTTTAGCAGAACCTATGATGAGTTTCAGGTTAGTTCTGAGTCAGAACTTCTTTCTGGACTGAATGTGAATCTGACTGTGGTCCTGCAAGTCTGGTTCTGAAGTCCAGGCACTTGTTGCTTCTGCATGTTTGACCACAGCAGACATTCAGTCAGAAATGGTCCAAGTTCAGCATCAGTCTGGTTCTGTTCTGTGTGTGATCTCAGATGTGAGCCAAGTCCCCTCAGATCTGCTGATCTTCATCTCCAATAACTTCAGTATCATAGATTTCCGTGTGACACATGATGCATGTTGGAGCGGTTCAGCAGAACCTAACGGCCCGGTTTAACATCAGGGTTAGTTTGAAGCCCAGATGAGACGCGTCTGAGCTTCTCTTCATGAGGAAGTCGTGTTTGCACAAGTTTCCTTTTCGCGCTGAGACACTGAAGACATTTCTGTGGTGTTTGTGGTTGACAGACGTCAGGACAGAACCGGACAGAACCGGACACACTGGACACGTTGGTGAGTAGCTGCTTCGTTGCAGATGTAGCCGACGGCGCTAACGGAGGTCATGAGCCTGAACATGTGGTCTCTGTTGTGCAGCACCAGGTGGAGGTCGATGGAGAAGGCAGCGAGCCGTTCACAGGTGAGACCAGAACGCCACACAGCTGATGATGAGGATGAAGATGAAGATGTGTCACTTCACTCCACCGACGAGTCGTCTTAGAAAGAAACCAAATAATCCACACAGAAACCCAGTTTGTTCACAGGGAGTGTTTGGGTTTGTTGGGTTTTCTGTTCATCTCAGGAGGTTCCTGACTGGATTCCTCTGATTAGCTCGACTGTAGGATCATAACGTTCATGTTCAGAGGTCACCTTGTTCACACTGGACATCATCAGGCAAAGTTTAAGTTGTTCAGGTGTAAAGTCTGAACCTCAGTGTTTAGTTCAGGTGTCACCAACCAGACGCTTCATATATATGTTTATACACACTGTGTGGTTCTGATCGTCTCAGAGTCTGGTCACAGTTCACCCATTTGTTATTTGGGTCCAAATCTGCATCCTGTAAGTTCAGAATTCAGAGACCTTCCTGTAGGTCCACACCTGGAAACGTTGGTGTTTCCACCTCAGACGAGCTGTGAAGCCACTGAAGGCTTGAATATGTGCAGAATGTGGTCCACAGTGGAGCAGCCTGATGGAGACCAGACCCTCACTCTGTGTTTGCAGTGCAGTTGGTGAAGCCCAGTCAAGGAGCCGTGATGCCGGTGAAGAAAAGGAAGTTACCTGACGCAGGTGACCACGAGCACAGGTGTAAACTCAGCAGGTAAACACACGTGACTGTCTCTGCTCCCGTCGTCTGTTTGGGTCTTTATCTAGTTGTTCAGATCAACACCGTTTGTCTGAGCTGCAGCTTCAGGCGGAAGTTCTGATGGAACCCGTCTCCACCAGTCTGAGCTGCATGTTGCTGTCGTCCCTCTGAGACGTGACTGACGATAGAAGAGACGCCGAGTAGACGTCGTTTTCAACAGAAATGTTCACCTCAGTGATCTGTTCCCTCGGTTCTGTGTTCCTACTCATGTTCTTGATTGTGTGCTTGTGGCCGTACAAGCGGTTCTGGTGTTCAGCTGCTGCTTCTCTCCTCTCAGTCTGACTCGGCCTCATATTCGGCCCGTGAGGCCGATGGGCGGCGCCAAGCCTTTCTCCAGTAAAAGGTGTCTGGCCTGGTTCCACGAGTACGCCGGACCCGACAAGGTGGTCGGACCCGAGGCCATGGAGAAGTTCTGTGAGGACATCCGAGTGGAACCGGAGAACGTGAGTGACCTGGAGAAGCACAGTGAGGCTTCAGAGAACCTGGACCTCAGAGAGATCTCCTACATGGAGCTCCATAGACCAGAACACGGCTGCGAGGTGTCGATCCGCTTCGGCTTCACACACATAGGGGGCGATAATGAGCAGCTTACTGACACCAGCGTGAACATCAGAGTTTCTGCAGGAAGCTTGTTGCTGCTCAGAGAAAATGACCAACATGACAGTAAAAGCCGTTACTGACAGAACACCAGGCAGGAGTCCCACTAGAACTAGAACTCACACTGCAGGTCCGGTTCATCGCTCTGCTTCTCCTGCTTTCACTCACTTCACATCAGTTTGTCTCCTTTTAGTTCAGAGGAATCAGATTACAACCTCTGAACCACACAGGAGCTGGAACAGAACCACTGACTGCTGTTCTGTTGCAGATCATCATGCTGGTTCTGGCCTGGCACCTGGAGGCAGCCAACATGGGCTTCTTCACCAAAGACGAGTGGCTCAGAGGAATGACGTTGCTGCAGTAAGGAGCCTTTATCGCAGCTGTCGGCTTTCTGTGTTCCACACCTGAGACTCACCTGCCTCCTGTCCTGCAGGTGTGACTGCACCGAGAGGCTACAGAGTAAACTGGAGGACCTGCACCGCGAACTCAACGATGCCGCCGCCTTCAGAAACATCTACAGATACGCCTTCGACTTCTCCAGGGTGAGTCTGCTTCTGGTTCTGTTCACAGGAGCTGAAGTCAGAGTTTCAGTCGGTCAGGGCCGGTCCGTTCTCTACTGACTGTCATCAGCTGTTGTTGTTGTTCAGGATAAGAACCAGAGGAGTCTGGACATGGACACAGCTAAGTCCATGCTGGCTCTGCTGCTGGGCCGGACGTGGCCCCTGTTCCCAGTGTTCCACCAGTTCCTGGAGGTAAGTCGCTCTGGTCTGACTGGACAGTTCAGTAGTAAGTGTGAATAATGCTGGTCATGGGCCTGATCAGAACTAGTCCTGACTCTTGTGTCCATCCTGTGTCCTACAGCAGTCCAAGTATAAAGGCCTGAATAAGGATCAGTGGTACAACGTTCTGGAGTTCAGCAGAACCATCAAACCCGACCTCAGCAACTACGACGAAGACGGAGCCTGTGAGTGCTCATTGGTCAGTTGTGGTGCTGCTGGATGACTTATTGCTGTAATGAGTCTAATCAGTGATGATGTGTGCAGGGCCGGTGCTGCTGGACGAGTTTGTGGAATGGAGGAAGTCTCGTTCAGCATCGTAGCAGACGGACAACGTCCTGACAGTCAAAAGGATGCAGAAGAAGAAACGGGAGGAATCTGTGATGTAAGAAAACTGAAGCTGCTTTCAGGTCTCAGCAACACAAACGCGAGCAGCAGAACACAATCCTCCCCGTGGACTCGGACTAACCAGCAGACCGGAGCCTCGGAGCAGAGGACAGAGCAACGAACTGAGAGAAGAGCCGTGGATCTATGTTTTCTAGACAATTATTTTTCCCATTTGTGTTTTGTTTATAGATGTTTTCAAAGTAATAAAAGGAAGATGGAAAAACACTCAGCTGCAGCTTTCATTCAGCACAGATTTATTTGTAATGAACTCAGTAACTGATGGTCCTGATGGTCCTGATGGTCCTGTTGGTCCTGTTGGTCCTGTTGGTCCTGATGGTCCTGATGGTCCTGTTGGTCCTGATGGTCCTGATGGTCCTGATGGTCCTGATGGTCCTGATGGTCCTGATGGTCCTGATGGTCCTGCAGCTCCGAGGTTCAGCGACTCTGAACCGTGAAGTGATGCAGGAGGAAACAGGGACAGGCTTTCTGATTTCAATGTTCTCTCAGTCCTTCAACCAACTGATTGATGCAGTATCATACAAAATACAAACATACAGAAGAGCTCGGCGCCGCTGAGGACTGTGGGTCAGACTGATCAGAACAACAAAGTGCACAATCCAACTGGATGTAAGAGGACATTGTGGTATGGTTTGGCTCCTGACACTGTTGTCTGACAGACTACAGTCTGTGGCAATAGGGAGTCTCCATAACTCTTAAATCTGAACCCACTGGGTCGAAGAACACATGAAAGCCACATTTTACTGATTAGTCAGCTAATTTCAAATATGATTTCCTTCTGGTTAGATTCCATTTTTGTTGTGCTAGGTTATTTTGTGGAGATGTAAAAGCTCACCAATAGTGGTGCAGCTCTGTATAGCCCCACCCCCTCACTGCCTCCAGGTAACCAATCAGAATGAGCAGCTGCCTCAGTCCTGGTTTATTTACTTTCTACAGCTGATCTGCTCAACTCTGCTACATCTGAACCACAAACAAAGTGAACCCAAGAGTCTTCATGCAGGAACTGAACACGATGAATGAATTATTGATGGTCCACACAACTAGTGTTAGCATGGTGTAGGCTAATGTGGCAAACGTTAGCTTTGATGGTAGCAGCAGTAGTGTGGCTAACGTTGGCTTTGATGGTAGCAGTAGTAATACCAATAACGTTAGCACTGATGGCAGCTGTAGCAATGTGGCCAATGTTAGTGTTGATGGTAGCAGTAGTAATATGGCTAATTCTAGCTTTGATGGTAGCAGTAGTAATACCAATAACAGCATTGATGGTAGCTGTAGCAATTTGGCTAATGTTAGCTTTGAGGGTCGCAGTAGTAATGTGGCTAATGTTAGCTTTGAGGGTAGCAGTAGTAATGTGGCTAACGTTAGCCTTGATGGTAGCTGTAGCAATGTGGCTAACATTAGCTTTGATGGTAGCAGTAGTAATACCAGTAACAATAGCATTGAAGGTAGCTGTAGCAATATGGCTAACATTAGCTTTGATGGTAGCAATAGTAATGTGGCTAATGTTAGCTTTGATGGTAGCAGTAGTAATACCAATAACGTTACCATTGATGGTAGCTGTAGCAATGTGGCTAACATTAGCTTTGATAGTAGCAGTAGTAATGTAAGTAAGTAGTAATGTGGCTAATACTATTACATAGTAAT